TGAATGAAAAAAGCGAAGAGGCGACCAAAATGCCGATTTGAAAAGCCTCACCGGTCGGCTCAGAGAGGGAAATTCACCCAAACGGCTGCACTCCGAGCTGTGTACCCTAGCCTGAAGCTCGAGATAATACCCTCTGGCGTCACGAGTACTCTCAAGTGTACATTCAAGGTCTAAATAATGGAACTAATTAGTGTGGGCCTTGGGCCAGGTAGAGAATCCAGACCATATGATGGACGCACGCATACATTAGGCGCCAGCTAGTGAGAGCATACCAGTATTATCCCACAGTGCACGGAGGATGACGACAGGGAAATAGTGAATCTTACTGCCGTATGTGTATGGCAAAATCACTGGCACGATGGCTACCCTCAGACCTATGGAATATCGTAGCACGAAACGCCTCATCCGGTTGAAGAGGAGAAAGAGCTCATACGAGTCCACCAGCGCCGCCCCTCCGTTGTTTCGACATCATCCGAACGGAACTCAGTTGACGCTCAACTTGCTCGGATTTCAGCTGATAGCGCGACCCAGGATTGTCCAACGATGATCGCTTACCATGTCCTAACAAGAACAGAAGGTAAAGTACATCATAGTCGAAGATGTTACTCTGGCGCGTAGCCTTGGAGGTGGTGGAACGACGACTGTGAGCCTTGCTAGCGCGGACTTCGGGATGCTCATCATTACGATGGTAACGACAGACGGAGCGGGGAGCAACCGATGACCTTGAGAAGAACAGAAGTCTACAGTGTCATAGAGTGCATCGCGTATCACCTCCAAACGATGCCTATTGGAGGTAACTTAAACGGAGACTCTGAGCCGGGTGTCGAGGGTAAGCCTGAGGGATGAGTAATCAGAAGCAGAGTACAATCGGCTATAATGAACTACCTGTGGAAGCTGAGACCAGTTCGAATGACGAACAAGCAGCATGACCCTCTTTAGTAGCCCCCGTGGACGACGAAGGCCTCACGTCCTGGTCTAATGCCTTGGAGGAACGACTGCCGACACAACCCTGGGTTGTCAACCCATTGTGCTCACCGATACGTGCTGTAAACAATCGTAACTATAAGTAATAGACTGCATCTGAGATTCTAGCACGCATGCAGCTTGATACAGAAACCTTCCTGCATCCCTGACTGGGATAAAGAGATGTTCTATCCAGTACGCGTCCAATCCTGGCGATTTTGTGACGCCTGTTCAAGTCTCCTATAGTGACGCGACTAACACAAGCTGAATAATGCTAGTCTAGCGAGCGAAATCCCCAATTGCTGTGATTCTAGTAGAGATACTGCACGCACTCCGAGCTCAGTCGATCATATTCAACTCGACGCTTTGAAGGAGATTTGCACAGCTATCACATGAACGATTTGTGGCGCCAGAGAAAGGTGCTCACAGTGACGTGAGAACTTGATGTAATGGTCTGTTACATAATGATCAAGAGAAAATGCTTGAATGAGCTATAGCAGATGAGCTCGTTTCACTGTCTTTGATGAGCTCGTGGGAGAGTCCTCCTCCATATGAACTATTTCTCCGGCTACTTGCCGACGGCAAGATAAGCCCACTACTACAGGAGGAGACGGCTCAGCCGCTGCGCTGCGTCTCTGCTACGGTGACACACAAGCTTCGCTGTCTGTTCTGCGGCGCAGATTACGCGCAGAGCGGCAGTGTCCCTCGGACACTCCCACACAGATACGGTCATCGGCACTCAGAGCCTTGAAGTGCAGGTTGCGCCCCTCCTTTCGGGTAATAAACTTGGACACAAGGGATAACAATCCTTGGCTAAGCACTCTGTACACATACAAATTGTATGATACAATTAGTTTGGATCAGGTAGCTATGGCCGGACTTCCGAGATATTAATTTTCCAACCCAATATGGGCTCTCGTTAGCGCTATACCAAACAAGAACAAAATCATCTTCTCCGGAATCGTCTTCACTGGACGCTGCTCCGGCCTTGGGGTTCATGGGTTCCTGGAGCACCGCTCCGAGCTCCGAAGGTGGGGCAGACAGTCTGCCGCAGACTGCTCAACAGCTTAAGTTCTGACCGTCGGCTCTCTTTCAGCTATGTCGGGGTGTATTCAGCAAGATGGTCTAAATGCACTACTAATGCATTCAGACCATCTAATGCAGCATTAGTGGGACACGTCACGCGTATAGCCTCCCACGAGGGCGTAATGTGTGACAAGGTCTTCCCGCTGGTTGACTCGTTCTTCAACTGGCCGAGCCTTCAGTAGCAGATTTATGTAATCCAGTACTGCTCG